AGCTGTCATTTGCTGAAAGGCATAGACCTTTTTGATATCATTCCAAGCCTTAAGTTTCTTAAGCAGTAAAACTGCCTCCTTGATGTTCTTGTAGGCTTCAACTTTATCTTCAACCATCAGAGAAAGTTCAGGAACTTCCTCAATATGATGACCTTTAGACATGACCAGGGCTGGTAAGGCAGAAGCAGCCAGGGCAGAGCAGATGGCATAGCGCTTCTGAGTTGTGTTTACTCTACGGTGTTAGCAATGCCAGGTTTTGGTTGCACATGCCCTCCACGAAACATATTTCCAAAAGCACCTTGGCCAGAGCGGTGAGTCCCACCACCGAGAACTCTGGGAATTCTGGCTATAGCTCTGCCAGTACCCCAAGACTCAGCACTAGTCTGGTGACCTGCTAGTTCACTGACGGCATAGACCTGCCTATTGTTCTTGTGCAAGTTGGTGTGAACAAAATTCACGATATCCAGTCGACTGGGAGCCTTGAATACAGCAGGCAAAGTAACGTTTTTGCCAGATGATTCTCCCTTTTCGGAGTACACTGATACCAGTGGATGAGCACATGCCATGGCGGGAAGAGAAGGCCACAGTCCTCTCAACCCAGCAGCTTCCACAGGAAAAGCTTCTCCATGTATCTTGATGTTATTTATTGGTCCAGTAGTGAGTATTTTTGTTTTCTTTACATTGAGGTGCAATCCATACTGAAGGCTGTGTGGTCTTTGATCTTCATCAGTATTTTGTATTATCTACTTACTGCAGGTTGTTGATGAGACTTCCTACAATTCTGATGCTGCATTCTTCTTCATATAATCCATCTTCTCAGATTATTTGCTCAGCATACAGATTGAATAAGTATGGTGAAAGGATACTACCCTGGCATACACTTTTCCTGATTTTAAGCCTTTCAGTAGCTCCTTGTTCTGTTCAGATGACTACTTCTTAGACTATAAACAGGTTCCTTATGAGCACAATTAAGTGTTCTGGAATAGCTATTCTTTGCAATGTTATCCATAGTTTGTCGTGATCCACACAGTTGACTATAGTCAATAAAGCAATAGTAAACATCTTTCTGATCCATCTGACATCAGCAATGGTATCCCTCATTCCATGGTCTCTTCTGAATCTGGCTTGAATTTCTAGCAGTTCCTGTTGATGTACAGTTGTAACCCTTTTAAAATTATGTTCAGTAATATTTTACTTGCATGTTATATTAATGATATTGCTCGATTGTTTCTGCATTCTATTATGTTACCTATCTTTGGAATGGACACAAATAAGGATCTCTTCGAATTGGTTGGCCACGTAGCTGTATTCCAAATTTCTTGGCATAGATAAGTGAGCACCTCCAGTGATGTATCAGTTTATTGAAAGATTTCAATTTGTTCTCCTGGAGCCTTGTTTTTCACCAATGTCTTCAGTGTAGCTTGAACTTCTTCATTCAGTGCCATTGGTTTTTCATCATATGCTACCTTTTGAAATGGTTGAACATTGCCCAGTTCTTTTGATAGAGTGACTCTGTGGGTTCCTTCCATCAGCTTTACATTCATCCTACCATATTTCATTTCATTGAAATTATTATAATCCCCTTCATGTATCATCATTCAACAGTCTTTGCTTCCATTCCCTCTGGGCTTTTTCTTTTCTTTTTATGTACACCAAAGCACTCAGGAATATGTAACCATTCAAACAGCCCCTCTCCCTCCTTGAGTCTAGAGTCCCCAGCAGCTCCATCGCTTCATGTCAGCATCTCTGCCTCCATCTCTGGCATTAGTACTTCTCTGGATAGGGTTCTGCACTCTGCTCTTCTCCCTTGATGGTCCCAGGGTCCTCCGCTCCAGGAAACACTGCCTGACCCTGTGCCATTCTCACAATTGTTGTTATACTTAAGCCCACTGCTGCTACCATTGTGTCATTCCATCTTGTTGGGGTTCTTCTTCTATAAAATACTCCCAATAAATGTTCTTTCCCTCCTTCCTCCACCCGCCCTTCCAACACACTAAAGAATGATATGCTGTGAGTACTTGTAGTATTCTGGAGATTTTATAATTCATTTCTGATAGGTGCAGTTTTTTCTTATGGAAGAATAACCCATTATTTCATGATGGTATTTGCACCGCCAAAAAGCGACATAGTCTGCTATGTCGGTTATTCGAGTTGGCCCGCCTCTAGCCCAGCCAAGATCAAGGAAGGTTGCTATTGTTGTTAAGTGTCATGCAGTTGGTTCTGACTCATAGTGACCCTATCTCAGGTTTCCAAGAAGCAGCAGGGGGGTTTGAACTGCTGACCTTGCGGTTAGCAGTCCAGTGATTTTTCTACAGTGCCACACGAGAACTGAAAGGGCTTTTCCTTATAGATGAGGGGAACATTCAAAGTAGCATCGGTGCCATGAACAGACTATTAAGTTATTCCAGCTACCTTGCCCCTCAGAAACGTATATCCTTTCTTACATATTTTGTGAGCTACCTGATATTTTTTGCAATAAATTTCTTCTCTTTCTTAAGTTAGCAAGAATTTGTTTCTGATGTTTGCAACCAAAACTTTCATCCTGGCTCTAATAGTTGCTAGCTGTGTAACTTTTTACAAGTTATTTAATCAATCTGCATCCCAGTTTCCTCATCTGTAAAATAAGGACATATACGGATGCCCTGAACTACTGTGAAGATTAGACTAAAAGTGTCCGACAGATGCCTGCAAGGTAGGTGGTCTCAGAGTTAATTTTCCTGCAGCCTTTCTTCAGAATTCCTACTGTTTACAGAGTGCCTCAAAACCTGTCCTTTAGTGTGCCATGAGACAATACTTTATGGTAGAGAAATCTTCAAAAGCAGAAGTATAGTAGAATACTGTCAGACACAGTACCAGAAAATGAGTCCTTTAGGTTGGAAGGCACTCAAAATACAACTGGAGAAAAACTGCCTTCTCAAAGTTGTTTGTTGTTATGTGCTATGAAGTTGGTTCTGACTCATAGTGACCCTGTTACAGGGTTTCTGAGGCTATAAATCTTACGGGAGCAGAACTCCTTATCTTTATCCCACAGAACAGCTGGTAGTTTCAAACTGTTGACCTTGTGGTTCTCAGCCCAATTTGTAACTACGTTGGTCTACTGATAAGGGAAAGTGGGAGAAAAACAGCAATGAAGCTGTGGCTAAGTCCCACCACATTCAATAGAGTCCCATCAACCTGGATTGAGACCTGGTTGGCCAGCAGTATAGTGAGACCCGGGGACTCCTGAGTCCATGGACAGGGATATAGCCACAGAGGACAAGAGTGAAGTGTCCAGCTGATGTGAAGTGAGGAGAGATGGACACGAACACCCCTACTTGCAGATAGTACTCATTTGACCTAGCTTCAATGGCTGGATGATCAGAACTCGACTAGAGGAAGAAGGGAAGAGGAAGAAAAGTGTAATCCCCTACAATTTGTTGAACTTGACCTATACTTATGGATGTAGTAGCTTAAAAAAGGGAATGAATCTTTAAAGCAAGGATCATTCCCATTCCCTTTGTACACAGGGTTGACAGGCATGAGCAACTTAGATACTGGCTACCAAAATGGGGAGGAGGGGGGAGGCTCTACAAAGGCAAGAAGTGACTGGCTTACAAGTTTTCAAGAGGGAACCTAGTTCCAGAGGGTGTGGAAGAAGGTAGAATCTCCACTGAATGGTTTCCAACCTGTCTAGATGGGGCTGGTGAAAGGAGATGGGGATAAGACTCTTGTGGTTCAATAGTGAATAATTGTTATCAGGACTGATAACAACAACAACAACATAGGTGAAGCAGTCAGCCTTGACCCCTCAGTCACTACCATTACCTTGTTATGGGAAACATACCTTCAGAAAAGGCAGGCAGAGACCAGAAGAAACACTGAGGATATATATCTAAACTACTATACTTCTGCTGTTGTTCATAAGATTTTCAGTGACTAACCATTCAAAAGTAGTCGTCTTAGTCTGGAATAAGGAAAAGCCCTTTCAGTCCTCATGTGGCACTATAGAATAATCACTGGACTGCTAACCGCAAGGTCAGCAGTTCAAACCCCCCTGCTGCTTCTTGGAAACCTGAGATAGGGTCACTATGAGTCAGAACCAACTGCATGACACTTAACAACAATAGCAACCTTCCTTGATCTTACGACCACCTCTTGGCTGGGCTAAAGGCAGGCCAACTCGAATAACCGACATAGCAGATTAAGCAATGGAAAAGTAATTCTCAGGGAAATGAAAGTGCTTTAGTAAAAAGTGGGCAGACTGCATCTAAAAATATCCAGTCCCCTTCCCCTACAATAAACTCTTATTTGTTCATCTCCAAGGCCTTGATTTGACGATACACAACAACATATCAAATGTCCATCTCAAAATCAACTTAATGACACACAACAACATATAAAATGACTTTGTGTATTATACCTTCTATGTAAGTATGCCACCAGGTTGTAACTTTTGTTATTTGGGTGTCAGACAGTTAAGTCAGAAGTAGTAGTGAAAATCCTTTTCTTTCTGGCCAATATGGTATATATGTCCTTAACTGGCAGTAATTCTGTATTTCCCTCCACGATCCAATAAAATTCAAATGGAGTTAAGTTGATCTAGGTCTGATTCCCAATACAGGGTCTCTATGAGTCAGACCTGACTCGACGGCCCTTAACATATAGTATCTAACATATAGAGTAAGGTGTCCTGGTGGTATAGTGGTTAAATACTCACAGTTTGAACCCAGTAGCCACTCTGCAGGAAAAAGATGTGGCAGCCTGCTTTGTGAAGATTATAACCTTGGAAACTCTATAGGGCAATTCTACTTTGTCCTGTAGGGTCACTGATTGGAATCAACTTGATGACATACAACATATAAAATGCTCCCAATAAATGTTCTTTCCCTCCTTCCTCCACCAGCCCTTCCAACACACTAAAGAAATGATATGCTGTCAGTATTTGTAGTATCTAGAGATTTTATAATTCATTTCTTCTGATAGGTGCAGTTTTTTCTTATGGAAGAATAACCAGTTATTTCATGATGGCATTTGCACCACCAAAAAGCATAGATGGTCCCAAAATGCAGACAAAGATGAGTACCTGGACCCCTCTAAACCATCAGCTTTTGAATGACCAGGTAAGTGACCAGTTAGCTCTATGCTTTAAGGAAAAAATAAATCAGTAACATTTTGGTTATCAAAGTATGAATAGGTATTGTTTAGGGCTGTGTAATGGGTTAAAAGGAGTCTTAGGTTGGTCCAAGTGGTTAACATGCTAAATTGATAGCTGGAATGTTGGAGGTTCAAGTCCACCCAAAGTTGCCTCTGAAGAAAGCCCTGTTGGCCTACATCTGAAAACTCAGCCATTGATAAACCCTATGGAGCACAGTTCTACTCTGACATGCATGGGATCACCATGAGTTGGCATTAGTTTGGCAGCAATTGGTTGGTTAATGGATTTTAAAACTATAATTGAGTCCTCGTTAAGTGAACAAGGTTGGCAAGAGACACAAAGTCCCTACCCAAGAAGAAACTGTCTTAGGTTTTGTTTGTTGTTTTCTTTTCATTGTAAATTGGATGAAAGTTTACAGAGTAGATCATCAGTTTTTAATTCAACAAATCAGATACTTCATCTCATTGATTGCAGTCCTCTCTGTGGAACATCATTTATCCTGCTTCTTCCCTGTGTTTCTTGTTTCTTTCCCCCTTTTTCCCAATCCTTCTGAACTTTGTCTTTAGGTAAGTATTGCCCTTATGATCTTGAATGATTGACCATTCTATGGTGCGCGTATCTCACTAGTGTTGTTGTCCCCCCCTATATATTTATGTATTACTTAGCTGAAATTTAAGCTATGGGAGTGAGTTCAGTTCCAGAACTGAAGAGTGACCAAAGACCATAGTCTTGTGGTTCCATCAGTCTCTTCCTGACCAGTAAGCCTGGTATTTTTTATGATTTTGAGATCATAAAAATGTTCCACATTTTCTCCCACTGTACCCAAGATCTTCTAATGTGATTCCTTTCAGAGCAGTTGGTAGTGGTAGTGGGGTACCATCTAATTCTGGTCTCAGGGTCATGCAGACTGATGTTCCCATGGTTCATTGGGCTAATTGTAAATGTCTTAGACATGTTCTTTCCTTTATTGTTACTTCGCCTCTGCCTTTTAAATTCCATCACTGGTTCTCCTCTAAAATGACCAGATGTGACAGGGGAGAGGGTAGTCTATGAAGTGTTCCTTTCAGACAACAGGTGTTTCTTGTTAGACTTGAGAGCATTGAGTAATGCTGCACATTCCACCAAATAAAGAAAGTGAATAAATCTCAACGGAGAACCATGTATTACTCAGGTTCTCCTAAGACGCTTATTTTCTACTTGCATTCCGGAGAAGCACTAGTATCATATGTCAAACAAAAGGTTGAAAGGGTGGGAAACTGAGCATCATGCTAATATGTAAATTGGCCAACCTCTGGGTCATTTCTGTTTCTCCTTCTATTAGGGATGGTATGTATCATTGGGTCTGTGACCTCCTGTTATCCGTATCTCTATCCAGGTATCCACTTTTCTTACTTTGAAAAAAAAAAAAAATCTTTTTATTGTAAATTGGGTGAAGCTTTATAAAACAAATCAGTTTTCCATTCAACAATTCATAAGCTTTTTGTTTCATGTTATTGATTGCAGTCCTTATGATGAAACACCACTCATCCACTTCCTCCCTGCATTTCCACTTCCTCCCTACGTTTCCTCTTTGTTTCCTAATCCTTCTGAGCTTTGTCTTTGGGTAAATGCTGCCCATTTGCTCTCAGATGGTTGATCAGGATAAGGTGTGCATATCTCCCTAGCGTTATTGTTTCTCTTTTAGATCTGTTCGTTGTTTGGCTGAAAATGAAGCCATGGGACTCCCCTACTTTTTGAACATTCCCTTTACACAACTTTGCTTTTATGAAAGACCTACACTAATACCTGTTTTCAGTAAGTGAAAGAAATCCAAAGAGGATTTTCACTTTTATGAAAAAAAGGCAAAAAGTGAAACTAGTGAGCAGTGTTCTCCCCAAGCTCCGTCTATAGGAATTACACTGTACATACTTTACAAGGGTGCTTCAAAAAGCTCATGGAAAAACTCCATTATCCTGTCATTTCATTTCCCACAAACCTTTTGAACCTCCCCTCATGTTTCTACTTTATGTAGGCTGGGTGTATTAATTAAGTCAATTATCATATAATTCTTACTTTTTACTTTCATGCTAATTTAGGTTTTGTGTATTATTTGGTATGATTTGGTAAGTTATCTTTTTGGTCTGGGAATACTCAAAAATGTTTTCCATATATGTTAACAGTAATTGCTTCTACATTTTACACCGTTTCAAATTCCAAAAGGCTTCACAGAAACACTCTACTTTCTGGTAGTAGGGGAAAACCTACATCAGGGCCATACCTAATTGGCAATAAAATACAATCACCATATATAAGACTAACCTCACTATCATGCTCCTACAAACCAGTTCTTCCTCCTAATGGGAGGTACTGCTTTATACCAAGATGCTCAAATCACAAATCTTCCTTCCTGCTCAGTGTGGGATTTGATTTTATCCATTTATAAACCAGTAAATTAGCTTGTTACTAATGGAACAGAAGACAATACAGTTTCACAGTAAAAAATGTAAGACTAATAGGTCAGAGAAAAAGTACTACTGATAGCACAGCAAGTAATATGTGCAGCAGGTTTGCATCAGTTCTTTTTGTCCCCGGTCCTCCCAGAGTGACACAGGGTACAAGTAAATGCTGTGAATGCCGTGGTTTGCATCATAGCTAAAAAAACAAAGCAAAACAAAACTATAAGTCTGGCAGAATCTACTGCTTTTATACTATGCAGTAAGCAAGCCTGCTCTTGGTCCTGAAAAGAGACATAACTTCATTTCTCAAGGTTGCTTTGTAGTAACCATCACCCTGAGAAATGGACAAGTGAAGAGAGATCAGGGCCTTGTATTCTTGACATGCCAAGACAATTGGGAGTGAGAGATGTCCATGGTGGGGTGTCTCCCAGTATTTCCATATTCCCCATCTGATTTATTCTCAAATTCTATGAGTCTTCCTCCAAGAGCGCTTCATTCTCCATCTATCTCCAGCTGCACGTACTTTAACATCTTCATCATCTTTGCCTGGATCACTGTATTAGCACCCTAACTGGTTTCCCAGCCTCTAACCCTCCCAGTGCATCCCGTATTCTGATCCCAGAATGATCTTTCTAAAATACCAATCTAATTACTTAAGTATGATAATGGCTTCACTCATAAAAGTATCTTACAACGCCCCCTGAATAGCATTAAGGACCTTTCCCTTTATGATTTAAACTCAGCCAAGCTCCTTAGTTCCAACCCTTGCCACTGTGGGGATAAAACGTTAGACCTCAAGGTTGTTTTGAACCACAAGGTCAGTGTTCAAACTCACCAGCAGTTCCTTGAAAACCCTATACAGAGTCACTGTGAGTCAAAACTGACTCAATGGCACTTAGCAACAGCATCCAAGCCGAATTAGTGGTTCCCTGGTTCATCTCCCTCCCTTTTCAATTTGCATTCTGCACATTGCCTCCTATAAGATTCAACTCAAATGTTTTTCTTCTGTGAAGCTCTTCCTGCTTCCTTTTCTTTTCCTATTACTGCTTATTGACTTTCTCCCTCTATTCTATTTGAGTAAGAGTTAAGGTTCTGTCTTTTTCCCATGTCTCAAGTGCCTGATCTGGTTCTTGAAGCATTAAGACATGTATTCACAGTTCAGATGTACTCTCCTATATCTTCTTCGTAGACTTTACTCTTTTTACTACATCTAGAGAGAGACAGATTTTTTTGGAGGGTGGGGTGGGAGGAGAGAGAGATCTTAAGGAATTGACTCACGCAGTGGTAGAGGCTGTTGGTGTTGTTAAGTTCCACTGAGTTGGTTCTGTCTCATAGTGACCCTGTTTAGAGTTTCTGAGGAGCAGCTGTTAGTTTGAAGTCCAGGACTTATCATATAGTGTCACACCACGACTTGTTTTTTATTGTTATGGTTGAGTGCTTATCCTACCACGCCACACCAAGCCTTTTGTTGTTATTAAGTGCCGTTGAGTTGGTTCTGCCTCACAGTGACACTGTTAATAGGGTTTCTGAGGAGCAGTTGGTGAGCTTGAACCACCGGCCTTGCAGTTCAAACTGACCCTGTAGTCCAGTGCATTAACCCACAGCACCACACTAGGACTTGCTGCTGTTGTTAAGTGCTGTTGAGTTGATTCCGACCCATAGCAACCCTGTATAGGGTTTCCAAGGAGCAGCTGGTGAGCTTGAACTGCTGACCTTGCAGTTCAAAGCAACTTTGCAGTCCAGTGCATTAACCCACAGTGCTACACCAGGAGAAGCAATCCCAAAATCTGTAGGTTGGGCAACAGTCTAGAGATTCCTGTGTACTTTTGTTCCAAGATCCGAAGGTCAGGCAGTGGAAGACTGAAGGAGTTCTGCCAGAATAATTATTTATAGTCTTGAGGCAGAACACACCCTACGAAACTCCCTTTTTGCTCTAAGGCCTTCAACTAACTGATTAAAGCCTACCCACATTATAGAATAGTTAATACCACTGTTATTCAACTTTATGCACCAACCACTAAAGCCAGTGAGGATGAAATAGAAGAATTCCACCAACTTCTTCAATCTGAAATTGATCAAACATGCAATCAAGATGTATTGATCATTACTGGTGGTTGGAATGCAAAGGTTGGGAGCAAAGAGGAAGGATCAGTGGTTGGAAAATATGGCCGTGGTGATAGAAATGATGCTGGAGAATGCATGATAGAATTCTGTAAAACCAATGATTTGTTCATTTCAAATACCTTCTTTAGACAGCATAAGATACAACTACACATGGACCTCACCAGATGGAATACATAGAAATCAAATTAACTACATCTGCAGAAAGAGACAATGGAAAAGCTCCATATCAGCAGTGAAAACAAGGCCAGGGGCAGACTGTGGAACAGACCATCAATTACTCATATGCAAATTCAAACTGAAGCTGAAGAAAATGAAAACAAGTCCACAA